TTTAAACTTTTAGTTGTTTTATAATTATAACCCAAACTGTAGATGAATTGTGAATAAATTCTAAGACACAACAGTTTCCACCTTTAAGTAAAAACAACATTATTATTTTAATAATATATTCAACTGATTAATTAAAATGTGGTTTGTAAATATTTTTATCAGTTACGCTGTGAACAAAACGAATCGTTTCAGGAAGAAATCGATAAATCTTGGAATTTTATCGACTATAATAAAACTCCARATATTATGTATATAAACGACGAATTTGAKAATCTCGATGTATCTTTGATTATCAATGCGACAGACCAGGTAAAATATTACAATTTTTAGCTGTCTCGAATGTTACTATAGATCTTGAGCCTTCGAGTGTACAATACTATAACTCTATAACTTATAATGGTGTGTATTGTTTTATAATTAGATCGAACAAAACAACGTTTTTCTAGTGAAATCGGTACAAACCATGAATACACTAATTGTATTACCAGTCTGTCCGAGACCGGTGAGTACTCGGTGCAAGATTATTGACTGCTCAAACGATGTCCTAATAGAATTGGCGAGTGTTCAAAAGTTCGGAGGAAGTATTTTTGGCTTACATCAGTTCTGGAAATACTTAACTGTTATGAGCTTATTTTGGATTAGTCAAGCAATCACTTGGAGTCTACAAGACCCCATATGCTTTGATATTTTAGGTGAGTGATTGAGTGATTCTAAACATAATATTAATATATTATATTTGTTTATATCACAGCAATAAATATTTTTGTTGAATTTGTAATCAGACATCCGACATACTATATGATTATCTGCTATCAAATTGCTGAATTCACTGATGAACTTTATAAAACTAACAATATAATTTATAAATTGYTTATAGAATTTATCTCTAGTTTAAAATCTAGACATTTTGAATTATTTTATACAGTTTCCAGTATTTCCACATAGATAACTCTCGATCATTAATAAACCAAAAAGGGATTTAAAGTATAAAACTTATTTTTCAATTCAAAACAAGTATATTGCATTTTTAGATTCTCATYGGATCAATGAATGTATTGGTTTTACAWTTATGTATGTKTTTTTGTTGTTAATGTACACAATAAGTTGTCGAAATAATGCTTCGATTTTCAACTTCAGTAAGGGAGGTAAAATTTTGAAATTCCCAGTAGTTTCCAAAAGCAACGATGGGAAAAAAACAGGAAATTTTACTCAAAATCGGTTTTTGACGAAATCTATTTTAGATTCTGGTGTAACTCTAAAATAAATTACTTTAAAGACACAATACATCCACTGAATGTCTATATTGGTAGTTTTTATATACCAAAAAATGTGTTGACTTATTTTAAGCTGTTTACAGAAACTTTAATTTTTCAATTTTTTTAGATTTTTTTTCCTATGAATGAAAATTAAATTTTATTCCATTGGAAAAATGCTTGAACATTTATTACACTATATACTCCTAATAATTAATACAGTGGCAGTTAAAAAATATTAAAAATCCATGGTCATGATTTTTTTTATAAGTAATTAAAGTTTGAATTTTGACAAAATGTATTAAATTGAAAATTTACATATTACTTAGTTGTTAAAAATTCATAAAACATTCAACTCGTGTAGCTTTGATGGTTTAAAACAAGATTTCATATAAGTAGTTAATTCTGCAACAAAAAAAAAAAATCTAAAAACTATACATAGGTACACAGTTTTTTATAGTTATTTCAAGTTCAAATTTGAATGAAATTTCATAGAAAATAACCAAGAATAACAATTTGTTATATTGTTGTAATTTAAAAATATTATTTGTGGGTACTCGACATTTTTTAGAGTATACTTTATTTTCTAATTATAATAGTTAATTCCATTAATGACTTATATTAATTATAAAATATATTTTATGGTACTATATGTAAAAATAATAATGTAGGTACCTATTATGGTACATGCTTGTGTACCCATAGATAATGTATAGGTACTTATTATTACTAGATTTTAATTTTTTGCTTTTATTCCCCTTGAATTTATTAATTTAATTATTTTTTGTAATATCTGGTATTTTTGTATTTTATTCCTCACTTTTTGATTCGATTAATGTTAATTAATAGATGATAAACCCGAAGATTTTGGCAAACAAAGGTGTTGGGGATCCATAAGTTGGGGAATTTTCTCAGTTTTTGGAGGAGCACTGGTCGATTACTTCAGTAATAGTGATTATCAAAAAAATTATGTTCCAATTTATTATCTATGCCTTATAATTATATTATGGGATTTTGCCGTAGCGTACAAAATAGAAGTAAGTTTGTTACTTAAATGATATAACCTAGTCGATACCTACATATTCAGGAATATAAAATAGTACTAGTTTGATAATATATTATACTGTACCTACTACTGTAGACTATAGTATTGGTATTATATATAATTGTWTAAATTTTTACATGATATTTTTAAGATAACTGAGACAGTTGGATCTAAGAGTACATTTTCAGACGTATTCAAATTAATAACTAATTTGAATGTCATAATCTATTTAATATGGATCATAGTTATGGGGATTTGTACAGCGATGCCTTGGAATTATCTATTTTGGTAGGTAAGAATATAAGATAATAATGTTTGAGTAAGTATACAACGTTAACATACCTATAATGACAAAATAAACGATTTTGTTTAAAATCGAAGATTAGGYTAGAGGACCTAACATACTCGTATTATGTAGGTGGTGACAATTTTTTTCTTTAAAGGTAGGTATTTAAATAAATTACAAATATTAGGAAATCATATATCTTGAACTGTGAGTAACTAATTTCTAGAATAAAATAATGATCATGGACAAAAAGACACAATCCGCTATTATTTGTTATTTTTACCRGCCTGTTTAAGCTACGAGTATGTCCAATAAGTTAGCAGTATAGACTGATTGACGATAGGATAATCATTACCTCCATAGTATTCGTTAGTATATACATTTAGACTGATACTGAGAATGTGTACATTTTTAATATACCTACCCAAATTAAMCATTTTATAAAATATGTATAGACTACTATATATTATATAACTCGAACCGATAGATTTGCCAACTTTCGTGATTTTATCGAAGCTTGTCAAAATTTAAACGCTTATGAAAACAATCATATTTATGCATTTTAATATTTATGAAATGCTATACGAAAAACTTATGTAAGATCCAGTATTATATTTCCAAGTTTTTGACCGAACTTAARAAAATTTTATCAGCATTTAAAATAACAAAAATATAAAACATTATTTTTCTTAGTTTTTTTTCTTTTGATTTTTCTTGATAATTTTAAAAAGTTTTAACAACTTTCAACTTTTAGCTCCTAATATAATTATAACAAATACCCTATCAAAGAAATCCATTACATTTTGGAGATCGAAACATTTTTCCAATTTAATTCGTGTATTTATACATATCATATATTATATATATATATATATATGATTGCAAAATCAATACATTTATTTTTCCACTCAGAATCGATACCTTCATCTGTAATTTTAATTTTTGACATGATTCTAACTATTGACTTTTTAGTATTTTGATATATGTATATATATTTGTTGTTTTACATTTTATAAATTTTAATATAATACTGTTATATTTCTGTGTAATTGGGATCTGCCTATATATTTGGAAATAAGATTAAAAATAATAAACACTGTTAGAAAATAATGGAAATGTATATGGAATATAATTTTGTGTATAAAATCTTAATTCTTAAAAAACTACAAACAAAAGATTCTGCCCCTCTTTCCTGCAAAGGTTAGCGCATACCAGTGTAAAATACTTGTGTTCTTTTAAGTGATTTAAAATTATTTTCCAASTTAAATATTTGTTTCAAATTATGTTAATAGTTTGGTACTGTATAAATAAATGTGTTTGATACATTTAACTGTACACATTGTTATTTATAATTATATGTTAAAATAATTATTAATTTCGTAATAACTACATATTTTCATGTACCTTTAAAAAATAAAGTTGATTTTAATAAGAGAAAAAAGTATCAAACGCTTTAAGATTTAAAAAAAAAATGTGTTTTTTTTTTAGGTATATGGAGGATTTAACCAGAAAATATCACAGTGATAAGCAATCTTGGACGAAAACTCTACAGGGTTTGGCTATAGGAATTCAATGTATCGGCGGTGAATTGCCATTCTTATTTTTTTCCGGTTGGTTGATCAAACGAATTGGTCATTCGTATTGCATGGCCCTAGGTCTTTTCGCTTTTGCTCTTAGATTCTATCTGTACTCTGTGATTACCAACCCGATTTGGATACTGCCAGTCGAGTTCATCAATGGTATTACGTTTGGATTGTGTCATGCTGTCTTGTTAGCATATGCTAGATTTATTGCTCCACAGAGTTCTGCCACGACAGTCGTAGCATTATCTGGAGCACTATTCGAAGGTGTTGGTAAGTGTAATATTATGCTACACAGATTTAATAAAAAAATTATGTATCTATGTATGAGTAAATTAATTATGTGTGTCGAGTTGTGACGTCTGAGGAATATTTGTGCTAAATCCATACGAGTTATGTTTGAATATATCCACATTAAGGACACTTGAAACCCGTATCAATTTTTCATCAAAACGAGATGAGCGACTGATTAAAATTTAAGTTATGGTTTAATTTAAAAAAAGTATTTTTGATATGATAAAGAAGTAAACTTTAATCAGCCGGAGCATATGTGCAATATTTCCAATAGTTTTTAGTATATTTTATTTTAATAAAAAAATATAAAAAATAAAGATTGATAAAATTAAAAATGTTTATTCCCGTCAAGAATTTGCTAAAATTGAAAAGTGCTCCATCGACGCAAAGTGATATTATTGTTTCTTAAGCATTTAAATATCTTTGCATTTTTTTWAATAGACCCTTCAGAAGTACTTAAATGTTTGTCAGGCGTATTACCTATTTCACGCCCATAAATAATTGATTTTGAATATTTTGATCTAATGATTAAATTACATAATCTTATTGTGCATGTGTATGCGTAATATTGTTGATGCAGGTGATTTCTCGGATTATGGGGAGGGGGAGTATACACAATACACACATTTATGATCATTTACTAGACACACTAAGACTAACAGTAACCGCAGGGAACTAAAGAATTGCCTAAACACAACTATTTAAAAATGACACATTCGCAGGGGCTTTAACTACATATATTTATATAGGTACGCTGTCGTGGACCTATAATAACACCTTAAGTCCTTAATTCGAAACGATAAACGCTGCCCACTTATGTATTATACAAGGTGTTTCACGAAGTTTTGACATAGGTATATTATGTATACCATGTGGCATTTGTGGCGATATTATATCAAAATTTTGTGGAATATACCTTGTGTATAAAGGAATGTCACTTCTTGATTCATAATCAACGCAGAGCTGAACTTATTAAAATTATCGACTTGAAATTTTGAAGATAGATTAATATTATAATTTCATCTCGTACTAAGAAGGATTTTTCAACATTTTTATTTTAAGAGGTCGAAATCTGCAAAAATAAATGTTTACATGTTAATTGTATACCAATATTCATATTGAGTATATATATATATATATATATATATATTATACATATGTATAATAAACTATTAAAAAATAATAATAACAGCATCCCCACCATTGCGTCTTATCACTGCTACGGCGGCGTTTCCAGCTACGAAATTCATAGTCGCTACGACACGATAGTTCATTTGTATGAAATAAAAAAATATTTTTTTAAAGTTGTAGTGTAAAGTACGACACACGCCTACCCATATAATATACGAAGGCGCGCCTGCTGAAAGGTGAAGTGTTTATAAACAGTAATAAGCTTCTGCTTCTAGCTATACATTATTAAAAAACGTCATCAAATGAAGAAATTTTTGTCAATGG